AGCTGACGGGCTAACTGCCCACGCTTGCTTTGGGAGGCTGCAGTGAGGGGCACCGACAACCCTGCACGTGAACAGCACTTGGCACGTAGTCAGTTCTCAAGTGGGACAACCGAAGCCAAAGAACTCTTGTCCAAATTGAACTTGAGCAGTTGAAGAATCCTGATGTATACTTAAGAGTTGCCAAATGAAGGCAGAAGGCACCTCCAAGTAACTTCCCATTTAGATATTAAAATAGGGGCTGGGGAGATGGCTCAGTGGTTAAGGGCACTGACTGCTCTTAGGTAAATAAACAATTTTTTTTAAAAATCAGTTGATAAGCCAGCCGGGCAGTGGTGGTGCACGCCTTTAATCCCAGCACTTGGGAGGCAGAGGCAGGAGAATCTGTGAGTTCGAGGCCACCCTAGTCTACAAATTGAGTTCCAGGACAACCAAAGAAACCTGGTCTCAAAAAAAAAATTAGATAATACAATGGAAAAATTGAAAATAAATATCCCAGACAAAAGGAATGGGAAAGGGCCAGGAGTGGCGATACGAATCTTTAATCCCAGTGCCTGAGAGGCAACTGAGTAGCTAAGAGTTTAAGTGAGTTGCAGGCCCAGGCCAGTGACAGTTAATGGTTGCTGGAGTGGAGTGGGGAGTCCTACTGCTCAATTCGGCAGCCCAGGGTAAGTTGCCCCTGCTCAAGTCAATGACTCTCACACCAGCAATCCTAGTTAAATGCAATAGGGCAAACCCACCCCTAAAAACAAGAAAGGGGGCTTTCTTCGGGAGTTTAGTGGGAGGTGGGAGAGAGCTCAGAAGACAGAATAATGGGTTAATATAATCAAAGTGCATTAGGGTATATAAACATACATATGTATGTGCCATATACACACACACACACATATGCGATTGTTAAAGAAGTCATTTGAAAGTTTACTAGTCAATAAAGACTAAAAATGGTGTTGGCAGCATAGTTCAGTGGTAGGACACTTGCCTCGCATGTGTGAGGCCCCCAGTTCAATCTCCAATAATGCAAGAAAAAAAAGGAAAGACCCTATTAACCCTATTAACGGCCACCACCTCCAGCCTCCCAATCTTGATGTTGGACAGCTGTTACGACTCTGTCAGAGCCCAAGCAATCAATGGTCTTGATCAGAAAGCTCAGTCTTTTCGGGTAGCTCAAGGAAATGGGTTGTGGTTGGATTCACTGACTTAAATGGAAAGCTCTTGAAGAAACAAAGTGTTGACTCAAGCCAGCAAAACAGCCTGTGGGAAACTCGGGGTGCTTCTGGCTGAAGGGAGCCCTGCTCTGCCAGTGCCATAAGGCAACAGGTCAGGTCTTCTGGCATGGGCCTTTCTTGTATGTGATTGACACTTGAGCTTCTCTCTTGGGAATTGGTAGTTCTCAGGCATATAACGTGACTTCTAAAGAGCTTCTGAGTTGCCATAGAAATGGATTGGTAGTGTAGTTAAATGGGACAGATTTACGCTACAAAGTGACAAGGGGCTTTTAGATAAGGACTCCCAAGGGCTGAAACCATTCCTTCTGCAGGCAGAGAAGACTCGAGACAAATACAGTTGCCGAATTCCTAAGTTCACCACGTTGGTTGTATGGCTTGATCACCAAAGCTGAACGAATGAAAGAAAAGCTGAATTATAAAATCACCCCTTGTGATGAAGTCGTGACCTCTCCGCAGTAAGCACAGTAGGCCCTAGATAGGGTGCTGAGACGGCAAAAGGGTTGACCGCTTCTGTGGACACTTGAGGAACATCATCACGCACCTTAAATACTCCACCCCCGTTTTTGAGACAGAGTTTTTCTTTGTAGCCCTGGCTTTCCTCGAACTCATAGAGATCCTCCTGCTTCTTGAGGACTGGCAATTAAAGATGTGTGCCACCATACCTGGCCACCTCTCATTTTTTAACATCTATTTGAGAAACTTACTGTTGGCTGGCGATACGGCTCTGTGGTTAAGGGCATTTGCTGCTTTTGCAAAGGACTGGAGTTCAATTCCCAACCCCCACATTTGTCAGCTCCCAACCACTGGGAACTCCAGCATTAGGGGGTCAGACGCCCTCTTCTGACCTCCTTTGGCACCAGCACAAATACATACACGCATACAAATATCCAAGTAAATAAAAACAAAAAAATATTTTCAAAACAAAAAGATACTCATTGTTTCAACTCTGAGCTTTTCAAACCACAACCTAGGATGTTACTGAACTGTGATGTGTGCACAGGGCTTGAGGAAAAGGGAAGCCGAAACCCAGGTGTGCAAACTTCGGACTGAATTTTAACCACCCAGTTACCCGGCTAAAGCTCCAAACATCCGAGAGATTGTACTGCAGGCCTCTGTAAAGTACAAAGAACTAGAGATCCAATTCTGAAGCTCCAGAATTAGAAAGAAAAGATTAACAGCTGGGGCTGAGGGAGGATTTGGCCATTTGAAAACCGAATCACATTGCATAGTACTCTAAGAAAATTAAACCCTTTAAACCAACTGCTGTGGCTCGGGTAAGTGTCCCCAGAGGCCCACATGTCCTCAGACACTTGGTGCCTGGCATCTGGTGCTCTGGGGGGGGGGGTGGCAGGGCCTTTAAGGAGCAGGGCATGGGCAGGGCGTTTTATGTCAGTGGGGAGCATGCCCTTGATGGCGGGACTTTGGTTCTATCCTTTTCCTGCTACCGTCTTGATGCCAGGTGAACAGCATCCGTCATGCTACCACATGCTCCCTGTCAATATATGCTACCTTACACAGGCCCCAAAGCCCAACCAACCATGATCTGAAATAGGAGACTATGGGCCCAAGTCAACCATTCCTCCTCTGAAGTAGTGGCTCTGGGATGTTTTATAACAAAGAAAGCTAAGGCATGCCGATTCTTCCTCCCTTTCTCCGGGTGTCTAACGAGATGGAAAAACTGGTACAGGTACTCTCTATCACACCACCTGTTCCCCTGCTGGAGAAGAAGAAATTCCATCAGTGACCCTCGCACTCAGAACATGTGCACCAGGCAACCCGTGAGGCTGTGGCTATATCCTGGGCTTTGACGTCATTGCCCCTTCGGGCTGGAACACACTGTCACCTCCTGGGCTGCCACTGTCCACTCGACTCCACTCTGTGGGATGCCATTGGGTGTGTTCACCTCGTGAACTGTGTTTGTGTCGCTTTTCCAGTACTGATGTGGTTTGGAAACACTCTGACCCAGCACCTAATGCAGAGATGGGACAAGCAGGAACTGCCACATGCTTCCTCCGAGTTCTCGCTGTGCTCTCTTGCTGTACTCAACACCACCTGGAGAGGGGAGGGTTTACTTCACCTTAGAGGCCACAGTCTACTAGCGAGGGCAGCTAAAGCAAGAATTAAGGCAGACACATGGAGAAAGACCATGGAGGAAGGTTGCTTATAGGCCTGCCGAGCTGGACTTCTTATATAGTCTTATACCTGTCCAGGGATGGCACTGGAGGCCTGGACTATTTAGTGCTGAATCCTCCTACGTCAATCAATGGATCCGCTGTGCTGGATCCTCCTACGTCACTCAGTCACTCAATCAAGAAAATGCTTCGCAGACATGGCCAAAGGCCAACCTACATAGAGGTGTTTCCTCAGGTGAGGCTTCCTCTTCCCAGGTAACTCTAGTTTGTGCCAAGTTGGCTGTTGGAGCTGATTGGACCAACCAGTTAGACTGCGGCATGCTTGGAGTAAACTGGAAGCACACCTAGGATGGAAGAAAAAAAAAATCCAAAAATCAAAAAACCCTGCAAGGCCAAGCCCTGCAGATGTTGGAGAAAGGGATCTGCTCGCATGTTTGTTACACATCTGTCAGGGTTATGATGAGGAACTCAGATCATCATGGATGTGGGGTGGGGCACTCGGGAGGCAGATAGATCTCTGAGTTCAAGGCCAGCCTGGTCTTCAGAGTGAGTTCTAGGGCAGCCAGGACTACACAGAGAAACCCTGTCTCAAAAACAAATAAAAATGTAAAGAGGAAAGTCACAAAGTGGGGTGAGCTATTTGCACCAAAAATAATCCACTACACAGTGTTAGGGATTTCTATAAGGCCAGCGAAACATAAATGGCTCATGAGAAAAACTGCCCAACAGGCTGTTCCCCAGGTTTCCAGGGTGGCTGAACATCGGGAACATGCATGTCTGCATCAGAAACTGGGCAGTTGTAAAAGGAAGGTGCAACATCACCTTTCAGGGCGACAGAACCAAATGTCAGACAGCACACATCCTCAGTGCGAGGACAAAGCACCTGCCCGGCGGTCATCTCCCCCAGAGCATGTGGTTTAACTATTAGCGGAAACAGAAGTCACACTTCTGCCAGGCCTGCCTGACGCGGTAAATGCTGTGGCAAGGAAACACGAACTGGGCTCCTGATGTAACTAAAATTAATCGAAATGTTTCTAGTAAATCGCATGTGAAAAAGTAAAAAAGAAACCGGTGAAACCAATCTTAATAATGCAAGTTAATCTTACTGCAGTTTATATAACCCAGTGCGTCCACAATGCTGTCACTTCTGCACACTGCATGGCCAGGCTTTGGCTCCACAGCCATAGGCTGGACAGCACAGCGCCAGAGGTCCTGTGGCTGTGAGAAGTGCGAGTCAGTCGGAGCAGGCTCTACGGGGTGTGTTCTGTCTGCAGGAGCGGGAGGTGGGTGTGGGGGGCTCAGGTGCAGCGAGCAGTGAGGTCGGCAGCCACCAACAAGAACACCGCCCTCAGATGAACACCGCGCTGCTCTGAAAAGGATGGCTTTTATTTCCATCCAAAATGATTATCACACGATCATTTAAACAAACCTGAAAAATTCCAGAATAGTGTAAACTGAAGGCACAGAACAAACCAAAAATATTCAACTGCAGGCACTTAAATGAGAAAGTGCAAATATTTCAATAGTAACAGATCCGGACAAATTTCTTTTACAGATGGAAAGCCAGTGTTTTCTGAGAGATTTTCATGAGAAAAATAATATTGAAAAGCACCCTCCCCTCCCCCCCAAATATTCACCAGACCACCAGGTTGGACATATTTTTATGTATAACAAAGTGGCAGTTATGATACTGTTGGATGGTCCCACCCCAGAGAAATGACAAGTTTTACAAAGTCTTTCAAAAGTAGCAAGGTTGATTACAAAATTGTATTTGGGGAGCAGGAAACATTGCTTCACATCAATTGCACTTCAGTATCAAATTGTTTCACAGGCGATTGTCCCACAACAGAGTCCACCCGGGCATCCCTCCCTGGTGGGCTGGCAGCAAGGTGACCGTGGGAAGCCAAGGGGCGGGGGAGACGCCAGTAGCCACTACTGTTGCTTTATCACAAAAAAATTTTTTTTAAAAAATATAAACTGAAGTGGACTAATCAGTGATACGGATACAAAGCCCGGCGATGATGAAGGAGGTGGGCTCGGCCCAGGGCCATGCAGAAGCCCATATTCTGATTATCACTGCCGTTTATCTCAGGCCACTTGTAGTTAGCTCTGATTTTGAACTAGGTTTCTAAATAAAACTTTTCAAGTATAAATATTAACCAGGTAAAGATATTTTTCCTCTGACTTTCTTTCTCATTATGCCTTGTAAGGGACGACTGTGTTGAATAAAGGACATAGTTTTCAAAACAAAAAACAAAAAAAACAAAAAAAAAGAAAAAAGTTTAGTGACCAACAGTTGAAGATATTAACACCTAAAATCTACTATTTCAGATTTAAAAAAAAAACAAAAACAAAAAACAAAAACAGAGCTTTTTGGTCTCTTGGGGAAACTAAGGACTTCTAAAACACACAGGAACAAAGTTAAAGTCTTCTCTCCAACTTGGCTGTGCTGTGTGTGCATTTAACACAGTAATGTTCTTAATCACCTGGTTCAATTGCATAAATCACAGAAACATCTCCAGACAAGATTGCTGATAAATACAAACTCTAGAAATGACTTTTAGAAGAACATCTTCAAACTTTTCCTACATAACAAAGCATTCCTGTGGAAAAGAATCTTCGCGCTCCTGGGCCATTGCAGCCAAGGCAGTTCTGCCAGCCGAGGACAGTCACCTCCCAGGCTGCTCTGTCCCTGAATGGCATTATTTTTGATTTTCTACATTATTTAAAAAGAAATCTCATTAGTGGTGTCAGACTTATGTCTTCATTTAAGTACTGAAAATTAAGGTAGAAACAACCCAAAAGTTGCTTTATAAATGGTATAAAAGTTTTGAAATGTTGGCACCAATGGAAAATGAGCAAAACCCAAAATGCAGCCACTTGTAGGGCTGTTTACAGGGCAGGAAGGCTGCTGCAAATGCTGCAGTAAGTTGCTGCTGATGCAGGAATTGCAGATGTAAATCATTTCATGACCTAGCGTCTGTAGGTCGGGAAGTTGCTTCCATCCAGCTGGTGACAGTCTTGGGAGGATCCAAGCACCACCCCAGAGGGTGGCCACTGAATGTGTTCAAAATGTAAGCTCCCAGGGCTAGCGGGGGCTGATCTCTGAGCAGAGAGGAAGCGTGGGGTGATTGTAGAAGCGTCACACCAGAGGGACTTCCTTCAGTCTGTAGGAAGAAGCGAGACTGGAAGCCAGCGTCAAGACTCTATACGAGGCTGCCGGGCCAACAAATGACTGTCAGAGTGACCTTGTTCCTTTGTTCTTTCAGCATGGGGACCAGAGCAGAGTGACTCATGCCCACAGTCGACAGGCCATTTACGGCTACAATCATGTCTCCACATCTGAACAAAACACAAGCAGAAGCAGAGTGTCATTATCTCAATGGCATCGCAAACACGGGCCCAGTGGGTTAGCATCAAAATCACAATTTTGCTCTGGTTGGCCGTCAGCAGCTAGGAATGTTACCACCTCTGGGGAGACTTCTAAGCCAGTACTTTCTCCTTTACCAACCAAAACTAACTGAGCCAACCTGCCCATAACCCGTGGGGACTTAAGGACATAAAGAACAACTTTATTTGGTGAGGCCATCTCTCTAAAAAGTGCCAAAACAAGGCCAGGGAGATGGCTCACTGTATGAGCACTTGCTGCTCTTTCGGGACCTGGGCTTGGCTCCCAGCACCTGTAGGAAGCAGTTCATGACCGTCTGTAACTCCAGTCCCAGGGGTCTGATGCTTTCATGGGCACCTGCACTCGTGTCCACATGCACTAAAATAAACACACAGCTCTCAGGGGTGCGCCTGTCGACGCTGCTTCACTGCTATGGCTGCCCATTCATGGATCTCCCATGAACACAAAGTCAGGCAGACATTGAGCCTCAGGACAAATAAAGTGGATTGATCTGACGGCAGGAGACCCGCACAAGAATGCTCAGAGGGCGCTGCCATTCTGCAACACACTCGCTGAAATAACACTCTGTTTACAAAACCGGCACAGGCATGAGTGCTGGGCCCCGAGCTGGATCATCTTCTAGTACAAAGAACACAACCCACATCGTCAGTGAACACCAGACTCACTTTAGTCTCCCATCGTAGTAAGCAGGGGTTCCTAAGACGATGGTTTTAATGAAGAACGGCTGATTGGTGTGGTTCTCTTCATATCCGCCCACAATACTGAAGCCCCAGCTTCCCAAGTAGCTTCTTCGTAGGACTATATCATGGCAGCTGTGAAGGGCACTGTCAAAGACAGAGAAAGCTGACACGGAGGCTTCTCACGCTCCATCTTTGTCACGACAGGTGTAGAGAAGTTAGTGCTTTTGTGCTTGTGTACCTGCACGCTAGGGATCAAGCCCAGAGCCCCACATGTGTCTGTTATTATTTTGATAACCCATTATCTAGCATGATGCAGTGCTAGACAGGCTCACTTCCTCCTCCAGCTTCTCTTCGGCTTCTCTTGCCAAGTGAAGACATGAACACACAGAGGAAGCCTGGCTTCCAGTTATACTGTAGAAATGTGCACAGAGACCATGGACTGGTACTCCTCACAGCACCGCGATTCTAGTACTAACCGCACCATGGCACTGAGTACAGAGAGGTACAAAGGATATTTACATTACAGTTCACAACAGTAGAAAAATTACAGTTATGAAGTAGTAATGAAAATAATCTTACGGTTGGGGTCACCACAACATGAGGAACTGTATTAAAGGGTCCCAATGTTAGGGAGGTTGAGAACCACTGCTCACTTGGCCATGGTGGATGTCTGTAAGTTCAAGGCTAGTCTGGGTCTACAGGGCGAGTTCCAGGACAGCCTGGGCTGTCTCAAAACCTCCTCGGCCCTGTCAACAAGACCATTGCTCTAGAAAGCTCTGATGACCCAGGTATCAGCTGAACAAGGTTTGTGAGGTTCCCTAGTTTAGACTGTAGCTCTGCAGCAGTTTGATAACAACCATTTACATCGTTTTTTAAAAAGGACTTACTTTTCTTATATGTTTATGGGTGTTCGCCTACATTTATGTTTGTGTACCACATATATGTACAGTGTCAGTGGAAACCAGGAAGACTGTGTTGTATCCTCTGGAACTGGAGTTAGAGATGGTTGTGAGATGCTATGTAGGTGCTGGGAATTGAACCTGGGTCTTCTGCAAGAGCAGCAAGTACTCTGAACCACTGGGCCATCTCTCTAGCTCCTGATTTCCACTTTCGATGCACTGATAAACATGTACGACATCATTTTTGCTACTATAACCTCACTCCATAAGGTCCTGAGATGTCTACGAGACATGAATTGTAGGCCTTACAATGAAAAACAAAACAAAATTCATGGGAACAAGCTGGTCAACTCGGCTATCAACAAGTAAAGTTCAATACCTATGACATTCTTGCTGTCCTTACAGGACAGAACGTCACCAGGCCTGCACTGTGTGTAAACGCTCCTCACTGTAAGTTACACCCACATGAGTCAGATGACTCAGAAACTGTGCATTTTCTGGTCTATTTTTATTTAAGAACCAGCAGTCTCATATTTGGCTAAGAGTTAAACATGACTCACAATGCTTTTTATAGATAATGAAAATCTAAATTATTTTAGATACAAACAACCATAGTTACACATACTCTTCCTATCTCAACATCAAACATCGGCCGTCTAGAGAAAGGTCAGCACCCTGGGGTGCCCGTGGAGGTTCCAATGTCTCCAGGACCCTCGTCAGCCAGTCACAGAACATGTCGCTGGTCATGTGTCCCGAGTCCAATACAGACTGAGTTCTAACTACCTTTTTACAAAATAATCAAAAGTTCTTGGCTAGCCTGGGCTACAGAGTGAGACCCTGCCTTAGAAACCCAAAATTCTGTCTTTTCAAGGAAAGTTGGCTCAATGGATAAATGCCTGCGGTGTAAGTATGAGGCCTGAGTCTGGACAGCCAGGACCCACATAGAAAAACCAGGTGTGGGGGTGTGTCTGCCATCCCTGCATGTGGACAAGTACATATTCAATTCCTTTCAAAAAAACAAAACCAAACCCCCTTTAATGGGATCTGGCAAAATTGTCTTCTTTTTACAAGCAGATACAAATCTTTTTAGCTTAGATGTTATTCAATTTACCTAAAAACTTCCTTTTATAATTTGATGCACCCACTGGGTGAGCTAACTGTGGAACATACAGATAAAGGTTAAGAAGATCACCATGTAAGACAACGAGAGCGCTCTTGATACCTTGGCAGCCCGAGCCACATGACCCAGGACGGGGACCAGCTGGCGTCGTACTCATTCTCACTGAAAGCGCCTGGCTGCTCCTCTGAGGTCTGGGCTGCCTCCTCCATGATCTGGACTTCCAGGGCTTTGAGGACGACGGCTGGAGATGCAGCGCTGGCTTTTAGCATGGCCACAGCCTCGCTGTGACTGAGATTGGTCAGGTCAATGCCGTTGATATTCAGCAACACATCACCTGTGCCGTTGGGGAAGCCAGAGAACGGTGTGAGCACCACTCAACTCTCCCTTGCCAACCAATCAACAGGTCATTTTCAAGAACTCAGAAGGGATGAGGATGGGTTTTTACTTATTTGTGCTTTTTTTTTGTACCACCAAGGGCACAGAGAACATTCCAAACAATTCAAAACTCAAAATAATGTCAGACTAGAGAGGGAAAGACTGTGTCTTGAAGCACCTTGTGAGGTCTGAGTCCGAATCATTAGCCTTCGTAGCTGTATACGGGGTGAGCGCTGCTTCTCTCCTTTGAGCTCCAGAGGGCTCTATGGTTCTTTCTGATCCCCAAACTTTTTGATCCTTTACTCTTGGAAATAACCTTAGCAGATTCTATTCAATGTGACACAGTTTTATACACAGAAAGAGCCCCAGTGAGGGCATGCATGCTGGGATCTGAGAACAGCCATCCTCAGGCCACTTAGTGAGATAAAACATGACTTGAACATCTTCCCTTGCCTGAGTGGGAACAGCATGTTTGCTGGTCTCCTGAGTAACACAAGGAAAAAGAGCTATAGAGGCTGTGTGGGGTGCCACACGCCTTTAATCCCAGCACTGGGGAGGTAAAGACGGGCAAATTTCTGTGAGTTCCAGGACAGCCAGGGCTGTTAAACTGAGAAACCCTGTCTTGTAAAACCAAACTCCCCCCCCCCCCCCAGCTCTGGGCTCATTAGCTGGCCAAGGAGGAGCCGCACCGCTGTGACTTCGAGCACCGCAGGGCAGCCTGAGGCGCTGCTCTGCCAGCCAGCCACGCCGAGCACATTCCATGCCGCTGTCTTCTTGGGAGAAATGTCGATTTCTGTCTTTAAATTAGGTAATTTACGTCTTTTTACTGAGTCGGAGAAGTTCTTCACAATTTCTTGATATGCCATGTACCCACACATGAACGCAGGACTTGTAAACGCTTTCTCCCACTCTGTGGGTTACCTAAAACACTGCTGCGAACTACACGTCACAGGACTTTTACTTTCATGTGGGCTTTCCCAAGTGCTAGTTTTTGTGAGGGGGGGGGGGAAGAGGAGCCTGCCTTCGTTCCTGGGAAAATAACCTTTCAGCTCCAATTTCCTCCCCACATGAGGTCCATCAGCAGAGACAGCGACTCTACCATGGCAACAGTGATCGGTTACATGTCCTCTCCAGGCGCCAGCAGAGTCGTGAGGGACAAAGGGCATGAGGACTCAATCTCTAAAATCAAGTTTGTCCTCCGCTACTTCCTCTTGTCTTCTGCACGAGGTCAGAGAGGACTTTCCGAAGCCTTGTCTCCTTGCGGCTCGATCTCCAGAGATAGAGCTTGGGGCATCAGGCTTGGGCAGCGGGGGCCTCTACGGCTCAGCATCACCCAGGTCCCTGACACCTGATCATAATCAGCGCTGTATTCCAGTGAGAAGGCCCTTCAGCCTCATCTGCCGTAAGCTGGATCTTTTCCAAGATAAAAATAAGCCAAGAGTCTGGTTAAATTTCCTAACCTCACAGAGAAATATAATGTTTTCTACGCAAGGACACTTCAAAAGATTTTAAAAAGTCGTGTTTAACATGAAACACAGTAATTACTCTTAAAGTGTGACCTTAATTTTGAGATGACACACGGCAGATCTTCCAAGAGCCTGTCTCACCTCTTTTGATTCTGCCGTCCCGGGCAAGGCAGCCATGGGGTGGCACGCTGGTCACGAAGATGGGCAGTTCACCACTCTTACTCCCTCTGCCCCCAGCAACCGTCATCCCAAGGGACTCATGCGGCTCCTTCTTTACTGTGATGTGCTTCTCCTGGCACGTGACGCACTGCGTGAGGTCCTGCGCAGGGAAAGAGGAAAAGATGGGGTGAAAACAGGCTAAACAAGGTGCCGGATCGGCGGTGGGTACAAAGGGATTGTATATTCTGCTCCTCAGTGAGGACTGAAAACAGTGCACAGCTCTTGGGTTTTTTGTTTGTTTTTGAGACAGGATTTCTATGTGTAGCTTTGGAGCCTGTCCTGGAACTTGCTCTGTAGACCAGGCTGGCCTTGAACTCACTGAGATCTGCTTCTTTCTGCCTCCTGAGTTGTGGGATTAAAGGTGTGCACCACCACACTTTAAAATGCCCAAGATAGGGATTTTAATACCATAACAGCACATGCTATCTTTCCCTGTCAAAACTTTTATGATGCCTCGATTCAGTGTTCTTCTAGCTAATTCTGTCACTGCAGGCCTAACTGCTAACCATGGATTTAATCACGTCTTCATGATGAGTTTTTTTAAACAGAGGAGAGCGTGAATGCAGGCCCCCACCACAAATTATGCAGTCAAGTTTCCCGCATTTGGGGAAATCTCTGGGGTCGGCACATCCTGAGAGCAATAGAGAAGTCTCGCCCTGGGAAAACCACCCTCATGATCACGGCATCTCCCCTGCCAGGTAAGTCATGATGCATTTTTAACCGTAAAACCAGTGATCACATTTAAACATGCAACCCGAGAAGAGCCGACTTACACGTGGAAGATCACTTCTTGTCAATCACTTCACCGAGGAAGTCTCCTTGACAAGAAACTACAGAGGCCACTCTCAGGCTTCACACCCCAAACACCTAGGGCTCCCAACAGCATGACAGCCTGCATTTCAGCCCATCTTCTCAGGCTGTAACTAGGAGAGGGTGATGCGAACTAAAGGAGGGGGCGTCCTCACCTTGTGTGAGCTTGGGCGGCTGTGAGCAGGCGGCTGTGTATGCTGCTGGCTGATGCTGTGTGCTCCTGCTTCACGGGTGCCATTGCTGGGCTGCGGTTTCCCCACTCTGGCAATTGTCAAATTCACTCTCTCTCCGCTGGCCTGGAGAAGACACATTCATCACTACCCATCACAAATGATGTTTGTGGCTTAGAGATCTCAAGTGGAACTCCCTCCCCTTGCCTCCCCTCCCCTCCCTTCCTCTCTCCTCCCCTCCCCTCCCCTCTCCTCTCCTCTCTTCTCTCTCCTTCCCCTCCCCTCCTCTCTTCATTGAAGCAGGTTCTTATTAAGTAACACAAGCTAGGGGCTCCTGACTCAGTCCCATGAATGCTCTAAGTAGACAATGCCTGAGACACTAACTATCTATGGATGTCTTAGTCACTACACCAAAGCCTCATCTGGATAGTCACTAACTGGTGGCAGGAAAAAGGTCACAGGCTAATGTTTTCAAACCTCTGACACTGACACACACACAGGTGTGTGGACACACACATACATCTTTAAGAGTTAAATATTTGGAGGCTTGTGGTCTGCTGTGTGTGTTTAAACATAAAGGTTCATACATATATTATATACAAGGTCATGTTCTCTAAAGTACATCTGACACCCGGTGCTTTTCCTCGGTCATCACAATAACCTCCACCTTTACCGTTTCTCCTACAGAAACTGGCAGCCCGCTTTAAGGAACCGTGGTAAGAAGTAAAAACCTTCCCTGTGCGGGGCGGTGGTGGCGCACGCCTTTAATCCCAGCACTTGGGAGGCAGAGGCAGGCGGATCTCTGTGAGTTCGAGACCAGCCTGGTCTAGAAGAGCTAGTTCTAGGACAGGCTCCAAAACCACGGAGAAACCCTGTCTGGGGGAAAAAAAAAAAAAAAAAAAACAAAAAAACCACCCTGTGATTAAAATGAATGAGGCTAAGAAACTCTTTTCTGGGCTGGAAAGGTGGCTCAGAGGTAAAGGCACTCACTGCCGTGTCCGATGATCTAAATTCAATCCCTGGGGCCTCCATAGTGGAAGGGAGCTAGCTACAGAGCTGTCCTCTGATCTCCACATGCACCACGGATGGCGCGCACACACGTGCACACACACACACACACGCACACACGCACGCACGCACACACACATAACATACAATAATTTACTTTAGTTTTGGCTCTTCAACTGGAAAGCAAGTGAAAGCTAACTTTAATACTATACATTAATCATTCGTCACTTTGGCTGCATCTCCAGGGTTCAACAGGTAAATGCTGAGGTGACAATTAGAATCCTGGCATTTACAGCTCTGATGACTTCACCATACTGTGGGAGGTGTCAATGGCTACTTGGGGTTTCCTTACAATGCACACTCACTGTCATTGCTGTTAACACCTCAGAGCCCCAAATCTGCATTGCAACTTTCCTTGAGAGCTACTCTGACAAGCTTACTGGCTGAGGTAAACCCTCGCTCCCCTGAAAGAGGTAAAGCCGTGGTGCCTACACTGCACAAACAGAAGCCAAAGTACTCGGGGACACAGGTTTCAGGAAAGCAAAAGTCAACAACAGCAAAAGAACCCTAACAAACACAGTTCTATCTGGGGAAGTTATATATAGCAGTGTGGATTCTGAAGACTTTCTAGAACCATGTGTGATTTTCCAAAGAAACATCGGTGACCCTGGAATTCTTATTTGCCAATGAAAACAGAGACAGCTGTTGACTGACGATCCAGGGCCAGTGTTGGGCATTGTTTACCTGAATGATCTGGGCGGCCAGCTCTGGGGTCCCATGCTTCAGGTCATGTCCGTTGATGGCCAGTACCCGGTCATTACTGTTGAGCCTGCCATCCTGAGCTGCCAGCCCCCCTTCCAGAAGGTCAAGAATAAAAACGCCTGGCTCATCTGTCCTTCGGACAAATTTAATCCCCAGCTGCTCCGCCGAGTCGCGTTTGTGCAGCAGCACTTGGAAGACCTCATCCCGAGGTGCGCTGCCGTCCGCGTGGTTGTTTGCTCGGCTGCCGAAGCGCCTCTCCCGCAGCACGGTGAGATGCAGCGTGCTGCACGGCTGGGAAAGCACGGCCCGGGCATAGTTATGGGACACGTTGCTGATATCATAGTTGTTGACCTGAAACATCAAATGAACAAACAAGTTCATTCTCCTATGACCGATGCATGACAAAATCTTATTTTCCTCACTTGCGGAAATGTCTACATGACATAGCTAAAGAAAGCCAACATGGAGAAAATGCAGGGACCCCTTACCTACAAAGAAAACAACTCTAAAGGTTTCTATAGCACAGAACTTAAAAATGCACCAGCAGCACAGTGCGGAGGAGGAGTGGGAACCCGAGTGTTGACGTTGGAGTCTTTGGCGCTGCTGGATATTGATAACCTCAGGGGAGCGGGGCGCTCTTCCAACACCCGCTCCTCTGGGGCTGACACTTCTTCACAGGACCAGGGTGGGAGGGAGCAGGCGGCATCCCGCCAGGGCAAGCCTGCAACTAGCACAGCTCTCATGGCTCGCAGGCTCAGGTTCCTCTGGATTTCAAAGCTGCTTTCCCTAATGAAGCACACTTATGATAGACAAAATGAATGGTTTCATTTCTTAAAAAGTTACATATTCTCAGTGACTTTTAAAGTATGCAATTACAAGTCCATTCTAATTATCAGCATACACATATAATACATATTTAATATGCTGAGTGTAATTCAATATTCATGTCTCATTAGAATGTACAGCCTTGATACAATTACAATGACTGATCTCTGAACACGCAACATCACTTAGGAAAATAGTCCAGCTTCAATTATCCACCTAGGAGCTGGGCATAATTTTCCTATTTATCACAATTAGAGCTCTTTGAATCCATCTGAGATAAAACCAATGCTCACAGAGCATCTCTAATGAGACAGCTCTGGGTTAGGAATGTGTGATTACCTGGAATCCTACGACTCTCCAACAAGTTTACATTAACCAAGCCTTCCCCTTCTTACGTATCGGAGACGGACAGTTCTTTCTTTTTTTCTGGATTTGAGCTGCTTTTTTTCTTTTGCTTATTTTCTGGGTTTGACAGGTTTGACCAGTACTACCTTGAATTTTGTTGGTTTTGTCTATGGACACCTTTTAAAATCCAGTCATCCAATCTGCAGGCATCATGCACGAGCTTACTATTCTCCCATGTTTTTAGTGTTCATGCAGGCTTTGACAGATAACTGACGGTGGTCAGAGACCAGAACGCCAAGGCATCTTCCAGAAAACCAGGCTGCCGGCACTCGCGGGCCCATCATCATCTCAGCTGTCCAGCTGAGAGCAGACTATTGCCATGTTCACTTCTGCATCTTCAGACAGTCGCAAAGGACACAATGCCTGGCTGAAACACAGCTCTGTGCTCCAGCAGTATGCAAGCATGTAGCCTACTTTCTCTGTAGAGCAGGATGGGGATACTCAACTATGAAAAGGCACATTCTCCATGAATGCATGGTTGTCAGTGAACTCCAAAGAAAGCAGACTGTAACATACCATTTCTCGATTTTGTAAAAAAGAGCACAAATGGTAAACAAGCACGTATTTTGACTATGGTTTTTGTTGTTAACCAACGCAATGTAAATCACTGATGCTTCTGCTCAAACTAAAAATATTTATTTTTAATGTCCTAAAATCTGTATCACTATTAATACTACTGACATAATTTATAAAGAGCAGCATTTTTTTCCTCTAAAATTGCTCAAAAGGCTGCATATGAGCCTCTGAAGAGTACATAAAGCCACAAGAACATGGGTTCCCTTTGTAAAGATGCTACTTCACTGAATACGTGCTTGCATGTGTGTGTGTGTGTGTGTGTGTTTCAATATGAACCATTTTTTATGTGGAAAAATCTACTCCCGTTGGCCGCATGTCTACTAATACAAAAGCACAGTGTAGCTCACTAGTCTGCAAATGAACCACCTTACGGCATGGGATTTTCAAACTGGTACACTGGGTTAGAAAGCAAAAAAGACAGATAAATACACTTAAATTACTGTTAGAAAGGCCAGATGAGGAGCAGGAACAGCACAAGGGCTGCTGCAGAGACCAAAGAGTCAGGATGCCTGGGAGGGGTGAACCTGGGGAAACAGCTGTAAGATCCCCTCTAAGTACAGGACACAGGTTAGGAATCGAGGAATACAGGCACGTGTCCTCAAAGTGGTGCCAGCCTCGTGCAGCCAGAGCCCCCACATAAAACAACAGCAAAGATACAGCACACAGAAACCATAGACCAGAAACTGAATTTCAAAAACAGTGGGAAGTTCAGGGTGTCTCAGCCATACCAGTGGCCCTGAAAGGGTTTGGGGCACGGGACTTAAAAAGAAAGCAACATGTGGTCAAGCGGCTGGACACACCAGGGCCAAGGACCTCCAGCGAAAATCCCAATCCTGCTGCCCTGTTTTGTTCTGCTCCAGGAGGTGGGTAGTCTCAACAGGCTGTCTGTCAGCCCAGAACCTCTCTGTCACATTGGGCTACCTTTCTTATTTATTGCAGTGGAGTTCCTCAACAAGTGTGATCCCAGTGAGCGGGATCAGTGTGGGGGGTGTTTGGCTGGACAGTTTGTAGGTGAGAGAGTAAGACTGGAGCAGGCTGGGTACAGAGCTGGGTGCCCGCAGGAAGGCTGGCATGCCCAGCTCTTCCAGGGGAAGGGGCATTCTATGAGAGCAGGACAGACTTTCACTTTGAAATGTGTCCCCAGTAGGTAGTAAGGTGCCGGGAGCACGGCAGGAAAGGGACAAAGTGTTAGGAAGGAGATCCTATTACAAAGCAAGGCTACATGAAGCACCTGGGCCCAGACTTGACTGTCCTTGGCCCTGACAGGAACAAGCTGGACTCCCGGGAGGAGGAGCAGGAGAGCGGGAGACAGGACAGTGAGGGGGTGCGGCACTGGATGGGAATGAAGTGGTGAAGGCCTAGACTAGAGAGGAAGCAGGGAACAGGGAGGTGGGAGGCCTCGGCAGATCACGGTGGAGGACTGAAGAGGGACGAGAAGGGCCCTTGTGCTTGAGCTCTGAGAAGGTGGTTTTTCCCTTGTTTGTATTTTTCTCCTAGAAACTATCCCCCCCCACCCCCACTTTTTTCTTTTCTTATCTCAGTGACTAAAATGCCCAGGACAGTGCTCCTTCAGACCCCGGTTCTGTGAAAGAGCATGCTTACTGTCTCCATCCTTTCAGCAATGCCTTCTAATAAAAGAAAATGCCTGGTCCTAAGTTAGTGCTTCTGGGGCCCTGAAGGGAGGACAGCGAGAGGGCTGACTGAATACTAGCAGGACATCAGGAGCAAGAGTTCCCAACTGCACCTGTGCTACAAACTTCTTTACCTCAGGCTGAGTTGTAGCTCAGTGGGACGGTGCTTGCCTAGCGCAGGCACAGACTCCCCGAGATGATGAGAAGAAAGAATATCACCAGTGACAAGGGCTGTGCGGGTCAGCCGCTCACATTCTAGCAAGCAATAAACAGAGGAGTCAATCAGACATGCGGGGAAGAGATGGATGGAAAACTGGGCACGATAGACCAATAAGAAAGAAACATCTAGCCTGCTCAATGGTGTCCCTAGAAGAGCCAGCAGGAGTCCAAGTCAGAAGTGTCAGTGTCAAACAAGCCCAGAGAGCCCTGTACCCAGTGCCCAGTCACACACAGGACTGATAATTCAAGGAAGAGAAGAAAATTAGCACCGGGAAGAAATAAAGCAAATGACACACAATCCCTGACTTGTTCTGCACACACAAAGAGCAAAGCTATTAGCTGGGTGTGATGGCCACACCTGCAACCTCAGCACTTGAGAGGTTAAGGCCAGCCTGGGTAACAGAGAATTTTAGGCCAGCCTGGGCTACATAGTAAGAGCCTGACTCAAAAAACAAAGCATAACAGAATTAAAATGAAAATAGCTGGGTATGGTGGTGTGCACCTTTCACCCCAGCACCCAGGAGGCAAAGACAGGTAAATCTCTATGAGTCTGAGGCCAGCCTGGTCTACATATCAGGGTCTAGGCCAGTCAGAGCTACCTAGTCTCAATTCAATCCATCAATCAATCAATCCAGCAAAACCAACTTTTGTATAGTCCGGGCTCTATACCATCACAATTGTCTAAGTTGTAAAACAAAAAGGAACAAACCAATAGAGTGGTTAGTGTTACCTGAAGAATCTGGTCTCCGGCGAGGAGTCTTCCATCTCTGGCGATGACCCCATCCCGGTAGACTTCCTGGATGACAATATTGATCAGTGGTGTCTCATTGCCACCCACGATGCTGATTCCTAACTGGATGTATGGGTTAGAGCGGTGGATCTCAATGGTGGTGATCTCCCCTTCTGGTAAACTAAGTGGCTGTTGTACAGCTGCCAAGTGAAACAAGAACAGTGTATGATCAGATTCTCTCCAGCTCAGCATGGGATCCTGTAGGTGAACAATGACTGACCTAAAAAACACTGTTAAAACTAGCCACACTCTCTTCTTCCACAGGTGCTCCGTAACCACCAATAAAAAATTACTATGTACTGGGTCACCAGGGAGCACACATTAACAGAAAGCCACCGTGCTCTCAGTGATGAGATGCCACGGCCATGAACCAAGCACAGATGGTGCAAGGTTGCAGAAAGAAAACTGTGGTCTGGGGGAGCCGAGAGGAGCTGAGGAAGGCCACAGCTGCACTGCGCCCTAAGGGGTGAAAACATTGCAGATGAGTCAGGAACTCTATGAACATGGAGGGTGGACTTACGGCTTCTAAGAGAAAATGAGGTCTACCAGTAAGTGGACCGCCACCCTGGCCTTTGTGTGTGTCTGAGCACATGTACCCAAAGCTAGGGTGTGGATGACTCGGGTGATGCATTCCCAGTCACACTGGAGCTGTCTGAGCTGTCATCTTTCAGGGCTCAGATTTTTTTTTTAAGCATTCTCATGTTACAAACACCAACTTTACTTAACATACAGCGTTTTGGAATAGTGACTATTTGAGCTGTTGCCTTTGTGGTTTGCTGTTGATGGAGGAACGTTTCTTCAGTGGGGAAGGAGGGAGGACCGTCTTCCTCTAGTTTAAGACTCCTTTATTTCCAGACTGCAGCCAGCTAGAGCTGCACGGTGCAAAGGGCGGATGGCGTGGCATGCAAAGCGTACTCCAGTGCAACCATTTAGACAGTCAGAAGGAGGGGAGGACAGGCAACCATTTAGACAGATGTCAGAAGGAGGGGAGGAAGGCAAGGGAGACAACTAAGACAGAAAGGGCGAGCCGCACGTACAGTCAGCTGTAGCACTCTCCTCGAAGGCAGGGTTGTCCAGGCCGGGCTCCTCAGGCCACACAGGAAGAGGGGCAGGTGTCAAGTTTCGCTCTGCAGGCACAGTGCCCAGGCAGTCCGTTTCTGGGGGGCAGGTGCCAGGAGGATCTAGTACAGCGGATCCAGTTTCACCTTCAATCTGTGTCTGAGTTTGGCTAGTTTTCCTCCTCTCTAGATCAACTCTCCGGTGACGGGCTCCAGGACACCTACAAACAGCAGGTGGTTTTCAGATGGTTTGGAAAGGAAGAGCTGGGTGGGACTGAGGGTGAGGGTGTGCTTAATTAACAGTGTACACCCTAACAACTGCACGGCAACTGCTCATGCGCCAAAAGAGCCCAAAGCAGCCACAGCGCAGCTCCTAATCTCTGTCCAGACTAAGTCCTCACTACTTTACCTGGCAGGCAGACTCAGGAAAGACATGAAGACAACGTCAGTCAAAACCCAATACTTGTAGACACTAGTCATCTGGAAACACCCCAAGAGTCATGGCTGTCCGTATGAAAGAATGAGTGTGAAATCTGCATCAACAGCGATTTTTACAGGACAGGTGTCTCAGCTGGGGGTGGCAATCTGCAGGCTTCTTCATGTGACTGTGCCACTCGGCCTCTCCACACTCGGCGGACAAGTAGACACAGGAAGCTTGACAGCTTGCAGCAAGGCCCAGTCAAGGCCCAGCCAATCTGCCTTTGTTAAACACAGGAGACGAAATGGATTGCCTTGCCTGTAAAATGAGAACCTTAAGATATGCTATGTGAGCTGAAAGAACTGCTATCCTGCTTTATTTAAGCGAATTCCAGGTAGAGGTACATTTAAACTCAAGACCAACGACTCTTAAACAAAGCTCCCCTTGCTGGCCTTCTGGGAAGCAGGCTAGAGCACATGCACACGCCTCTCACCTGATGCCCTGACTGGACACGGCAAAAGTGGATGCAGAAGGGAAGACACTGAGTCAAGGAAGGGCCACAGACACACCAGACCACACACTTGAGGTCACAGTCTGGCATTCAATGACAATATTTAAAAACTCCAACATTTGCACCACCACAAAGAACAGAACAGATTCAGTTAAAATGTAAAGCTGCCCAAGCCATAAAGCAGGACATTTCCCCCAGAAATAAACTTTTTTTTTTTTTAAACTTCCAATTCTGCTTTCAAGTTTTGAAAAAGACAATCATGGAAGCACAGCTTTCTTTTTCTCTTAGTTCTTGTTCCCTACACCCTGTGATGGAGGGACACAGCCGAGTCTCCCTTCTGCACGGCTGCACAATACTCCAGGGACTATTGAAAACACCTGGCAAGTATTTCTGAAAACGAGATCAAGGAACACAAGACCTTTGTCAAACATGTGGATCCATTGGAGACACATTTGAAAGCTACCTTGAAGTGGAGGCAATAAAGTGTCATGACTGAAAAGCTGGGCTCAGATTTGAGTTCCTTAAACTCAAGGGCAGAGAATGCAATTGCACTGGATTAGAAAGCTTCTCCCCACAGAGGAGGCAGAGTGAGGAGGAGCCTACAGAATGGGGAAAACATGGTCACCAAGAACACGTAAGATAGGTGATTCATATTTAGAATACATGAGTAACTGCAAAAATTAAAGAGCAAACTCTTAAATCATCGAACAATAAATGGGCTGATGAAGATAATAGGTGGTTCCCACAGGACAAACACAAATGGCCATTATTACTCAAAAACAGTGTTGAGCACCCTCATGGGATTCCTTCTCACCTAACTGGAAATGGCTTCCACCAAGAAAACAAGTGGGGACACCGGGAAGGGGGTGCAAAAAGAGGGGCTTTTGGTTTGCTGCTTCTGAGAAAGCAAATTTGTGCAGTCACAGTGGGGGTCGGTATTGAGGTGCCTCAAACAAAACAGCACACAGACAAACCAACAAAAACAACAAGTGAAAAACAGAACCCAGATACACCCCCCCCCTTTTTTTTTTTGAGACAGGGTTTCTCTGTATCTTTGGAGCCTGTCCTGGAACTAGCTCTTGTAGACCAGGCTGGCCTTGAACTCACAGAGATCCACCAGCCTCTGCCTCCTGAGTGCTGGGATTAAAGGCATGCGCCACCACTGCCAGATACAACCCTCTTGATACACACCCAAAAGGCACATCCTGCGTATTTCTGTATTATGTACAGTAGCTATGACACAGAACCAACCTAGACAGCCATCAATGATGAATAAAGGAAATGGTATGTACAAATAATGAAATTTTATTCAGAACATAAAACATTGAAATTATGACATCTGCAGGAAAATAGATGGAACTAAGATCATAATGTGAAATAAGCCGTATGCAGAAAGACAAACCCTGTGCATTTTCTCTTCCATGTAGAATCCCGTGTATATATAGGTCATGGCAGTAAAAAGAGGCCATGAGAAGGTAGCCAGAAATCTTAGGGGAGGGGAAGGAAGGAAGGGCACGTAACGGAATACATGTGGCATGAGAGCAGGACTACTTGGCAGGAAGGGGTACAACAGGAGAAAGCCAGGAGGACAGTCCTGGAGGAATATGAACAAGAACAAAACATAATAACATACCATTATATTTTCTTCTATTTATGACTACTCAAGTATGGAAATGCCATGAGAAACCCATTACTCTATATGATAACCTAAAACATCTTTTTAAAGCCAGGAATGATGGATGCCTTTAATCCAGGTACACAGGAGACAGAGGAAGGGACATCTCTGAATTCAAGGCCAGCCTGGTCTACATAGTGAGACTCTAATATCAAAGAAAAAAATTAAAAAGATTTAATTTCCAAAATACATGTCACACACAAGCACCCACATGGGTAACAGCTGGTCTTCAATGGCAGTGCATGCCTTTAGTCCCACACTCAGGAGGCCAACCTGGTCTACATGAACAGAGTTAGCCAGCGAAGAGCTGTACAAGGAAAACAACACCTATCCTATAGCTATTAAATGCAGTAAAAATTAATTTTAAAATGGAAAAGTTAAGCTTGCTAGAGGGAAGAAGCAAGCATGCTCACATTTCTGATGGGACAGCAAACGCTTAACAACAGGAAGCCACCCGCAGAACAGGAAAGACTAAAATGGTATCACGTAAAAACATGGGAAAATGACTTCGTTTGGCCAGTGTCAGGGGAGGAAGTCTATAGATAGAAGCTTTGGGAACACCCATACTAACAGGATGGGCCACAGCTCAGGAGACCACGACAGAGCCACCATGCAGGAGACTGTGAGTGGAAGACAGCAAAGTAATCAAGGCAGAAAAGAGGGCCCACAAAGAAAACGCCAACATGAGACAAGTGCTCCAAAGGGACAAATGAACAGACCCAGTGGCTTGGGGTGTGGCACAGAGGCAGAGCTTTTGTCTAGCATGGCTGAGGTCCTAGTTTCAATCCCAGGGACACAATCTTGCAAAACACAAGGATCAAAAAGTGTCAGTCTGATTTGACAATCAGAAGGCACCTGGTGGTGCCTGTTTGTGCCCCAGCACTCACAGGAGGCAGCAAGGTGGAGAGTTCCACAGAAAGAGGGAGCAGCAGCTCAGAACTGCTTGGCTAACACAAGCATTTCTGTCACGGCCAAAAGCAATTCAGGGAGGAGAGGGCTTATTTCCCCTTTCAGCATAGAGTCCATCACCAAGGGAAGTCGGGGCAGGACACTGGAGGCAGGAACTGAAGCAGAGGCCATGGAGAAACATTTGCTCTCCATGGCTTGCTCAATTTGCCTTTTATACAATCCAGGGCCCACCTGCCCAGGGGTGGCACTGCCCACATCAATCCTTAATCATGAAAAAGCTGCACAGACTTGCCTACAGAGCAGCCCGATGGAGGCAGTTCCTCAGGAGAGGGTCCCTCTTCCCATGCACCCTCCGCTTGTGTGAAGCTGGTAAAACACTAGCCAGCCTAACTAGCACAGCAACCACATCCTCCAAAAAATAAACACTGGACATTACAGTTACAAGTGGAGAACTTAAGTTAGGGCAGCTTGATCAAAACCTGGGTGTGTAAGGAGGAGGAGAGGCTGCTAATGGGTTTCAGACTCCTTTCCAGTTGTTGTAATGTTCTAGAACCTGGATGACACACAGTACTGGGAATAGACAAAAGAGGCGCTGAAGCATACACTTTACAGAGGTGAATTTCACATGCAAAACGCACAGCAAAGCTGTTAAAAGCCCAAGGGGCGAGCAGCTCAGAGCAGGCTCAAACAGAGGAAAGCTCACAACCACAGCCTGGTCAGAGCCATCCACGCTTGCTACATAGTACGGAAGCAACAAGGAGGCCACACTCTGGTGGTCCCTGTGTAACACCGTGATGTACACCAACTCCTGCATCCGCACAACTGTTCTATTAGTACACGGGACACTGAAAACTCAGCTAAGCCAACATCACAAAAGCAACTGAATTGCAGAGATACAGTCCAAGAACACTCAGATCAGATTTCAAAGGCTTTCGGCTTTTTTTCTCAACAGCAATACTAAGTTTATTGGTGTGGAATTCTTTTTAAGTCCTTTAAAAACAAACTGAGGTTTTTTTTAACCAACAAGTACTTCAAAACGCCACTACGGAATATTAGGGCTAAACAGACCTATGGGATCATCAAAAAGTCAAGATGGGTGTGGTGGCATGTGCTTATAATCACAGCATTAAGAGGTGCAGGCAGAGGGATCAAGATCCAAGGCTGTCCTGTCCTCCTTTTACTTAGCTCAAGGCCGGTAGGTTAAGGGAGCTCTCCTCTCAACACACACAGACCCTAAATCTCACAACAAAAACAAAAAGCAAGCAGAGGAAGCACCAAGCACTGAGGACAAGGCAGGCAGCTCTCTTGAGTTCAAGGCCAGTCTGGTCTAGAAAGGGAATTCCAGGCTAGTCAGAGTCTCCCTCTTTGGAGATCCTGTTTTCAAAGAAACAAACAGGAAAGAAAGCCAAGACAGCGCTAGAATGAGAAAGCTTTGGTAAAGGGCTTCCTTATGAGAGGGAAGATGTGAGTTAGACTGCAGAACCCACATTATAACAAAATGGGTGTGGTGGTGCACTTTTATAACCCCAGTGCTGGAATTACCAAGCCAGGAAGCTAGGCAGCTTTCTGGAGTTTGCTGGCCAGCGAGAAATTCTGCCTCAAAATTGAGCAAACAAAATAAAACAAAGAAAAAAACAAACAAGCAAGTGGCCAGTGCCCTGGGTGGTGAGCCAAGGCTGTCCTCTGGCTCTACACACACACATATGCACACAAACAAGAGCACCCCAAACCTCCAAGACACAGGTGTGGGAGAGGGTCACCCGCGCAGAGTCAGGTGTGGGAGAGGGTCGCCCACGCAGAGTCAGGTGTGGGAAAGGGTCGCCCCGGCTAATTAGTAGCTGAGGCAAGAGGATGTTTAAGTCCCAGTCTAAAGCTGGCTTTGGTAACACAACAAAATCTCTACATACACTGGAGATGGAGCACTCAACAATAAATGCAGACACCAGCTAGCATTAGAGGGGGCGACCTAGTGAATGCAGGAAACCAGTATAGAGGGCTTAAGACAGTAAGTAAAACCAAACGGCTAGAAATGCGTGCGGCATTGAGTTAGATCATGGAGATATATGGGCTGAGACACACTTGTCCAAGCAGAGCTTTGAGGCAGTAGTTGGTAGGAGCAGTGCAGTCATCCACAAGCTGCGGGCTGCCCCTCCTCGGGGACTTCAAATGCGCAGGTCTACCCCAACCCCTAATTAAAATAAAACCAAAGGGCTCATTTAGCAGCAAAGAGCCCAAACAGAGGGATTTTCCTTTCCCATAGGTTATGCATCTGTTTCATTATTCTAGCTCTCTGAAGAAATCACACGCAAAGTAACTTGTTTTATGCCACAGAGACACTACTGGCTATGAGGTGCACAGGAACATTAGGAGGCACAGTGTGGCAGAAGGCACGATGAAGCACCAGCAGTATCGGCGACGATGGCAATGAGATGGTAAAGGGATACTTGTTAAGGTCCATGCTACTCCAGGTACTTCATGAACATGACATAGTGTGAGTGGCTTAGAATATAATAAAGAAAGATAACAAACAAAACCAATGTGACAGATAGCAAAAATGGCACAGCAAGGGTGTCTGAAGTCTCCCCTCCATAAAAGCAATGAGAAGACTGGAGAAATCATCAGAACCAACGACGTTTGAATTCTGGAAACAAGGCAAAAGGTGATAGTGGTCAAGAAAGCATTTATTTAAGAAAGGTGGCTGGTGGGCTGGGGAGAAGGCTCGGCCGGTAAAGTGCTCGAGCCAGGCAAATCTGAAGATCCGAGTTCAGATCCTCAGAGCCTAATAAAAGCCCAGCACTGGGGGAGTGTCTGTAATCCCAGAAAGGGTGTACACACGTTGTGTGTGTATACGTGTGTGTGTGTGTGTGTGTGTGTGTGTGTGTGAGATCAGAAACGTGCAAGCTTGGCCTTCACCAGAGTCGACAAAGAGAGGACCCTGTCTGAAAGAAGGTCAGGGGTGAGTACTACCGCCTGCGGCCATCCTCTGAGCTCCGTGTGCGTGCACTCTTTCTCTCAAGGTGCCTGACTCCCAGGAAGAAGGAAAGACTGCACATGACTAGTCTTGCTACTAGCCCTAGCTCCTCAGCTGCATGCCACACTGGGAAGCTGTAGGCCTTCAGTAGCAATCGAAAGCAATGACCAGCAGGTCACAGCATCTTCAATAGCCTGTGCTCAGAGAAGTGTTCATGGGCCTGTCTGGTTTCCTAGAAGACTTCCCTGTACCACTGCCCACCAGAACAACTCAGCACTGGCCCAGTATAAACAGCCCAGGCATCTCACAGTAGCTTTTTGTTTGGTTTTTGTTTTTTTGAGACAGGGTTTTTATGTAACTTTGGAGCCTGTCCTAGACCAGGCTGGCCTTAAACTCACAGAGATCCTCCTGCCTCTGAGGGCTGGGATTAAAGGCATGCGCCACTACTGCCCAGCTGCTTTTGTTAAAAAATAAAACCCTGAGCTGGTGGAGGTGGTGCACACCTTTAGTCTCAGCACTAAGAGGCAGAGACAGGCAAATCTCTGAGTTCAAGGCCAGCCTGGTCTACAACAGAGTGAGTTCCAGGACAGCAGGGGTTACACAGAGAAACCCTGTCTTGAAAAATAAAACAACTCCCCCCCCCCCAAAAAAATATCCCAAAACTTCTGTCTCCATTGCAGGGTTCGGGGACAGCTTGGTGGCATAGACCTCTAATACTTAGGAGGTTGAGATCACAAGCTCAAGGCTGGTGAGGGCTACAGAGTAAGTTCAAAGCCAGCACGGGCAAAAAATTACTCTTGTTCTCAAAATCAAAAACAAAACAAGCCAGAGATAAACAGCTCACTGGTAAAGTGTTCACCTAGCCTATCAGGTCCTCGGTTTAATTCACAGTACTTATACAAAATAAAGCTAGGCATGGTGGCCCATGCCTATAATTCCAGCACTTGGATATTGAGTCAGGTCTGGGGATTCCACACCAGCCTGAGGTACGCAGGAGGAGCCTGCCACAAAAAGCCTGAAGCTCACTGAGTTGACACACTACAATATGTAAGTGCTCGATAGAGAAATAAGTGAGGCCCACGCACAGGAAAAGACAGAATGGAGGGAAACTGACCGAAGGAAGCTCCAATACTGGACAAAGAGGCAATGACTTAAATTTTAACTATCCAAGAACTAAAGGAAACTGCATCTGAGCGACTGAAGGTGAACAGGAGAATACATCTCACCAGCAACAATCAACAGAGAAACCCCACAGTTAAAAAGCGCGGTGAATGAAAAGGGAAATTCAGTGAGCTCGACAGCCCAGACAGCAGGCGGCACACTCAAGAGACAGGCTGCTTGACATTATCCAGGCTGAGGCCTTCCCAGCTTTTCCGTGGGTTTTTCTTTTTCTTCCTAAAAGGCTGGAGCAAAGAAAACCAGTTCTGAACCTTGTCTTAAACGAGCGCCCAAGCGCACAACTTGTTTACCCCCATATAAGCATGACCACTTGTTCTGGATGTTAGCTGTGGGAGATGGAAGAGGGAGTAGGAAGGGGAAGTGCTTTACAGACGATGATGATGGCGAAATTTCACAACTGCTTGAGCATACACATTTGGTTTAACACCAAAGAATCCAACACTAGTTCTGAGACAAGAAGCCGACTAAAGGTCACATGCGAGTACTTTGTATGCTAACTTAAGAAGAAAAGAAAACATGTATTACAGAGAAGAAACTATTCATGCAGTTAGGCTTGACCAAGATTAGCACATTCAAAAGTCTCTGGTGGGTAGCTCAGATGCCTGCTAGTGTTGGAGACACAGAATATACAGCCACGCTATGTGCTTTTCCAAGTCTCTATTAATCCTGCCTTCTCTTGGCTCCCTGTGTTAGACAACATAGCTTGGGTTCAAGCAATTTCTCTATAAATCTCCACACTTCAAGTTTTAAATACTTTTCCCCCTTCAGTGCAGGAGATGAAACCATGGCCTTGTACATGCTGGGCAAGTCCGCTACTATTGGGCCTCGCCCTCAGCTCTATGCCAACAAAACATGATGTTCTCAATCCCCATGCCTCAGTTTCTCACGATTCAGTTATTTCTAATGAATGAGATTCCTTTAACACTGTTCTCCTAGAACAGAATACATACATCCAGTCACGTGCCTATGAAATGCTGAATGCTTGCTACAGAAGAGCAGTGGACAGACTCCAGGACAGAGTAATGTGGTATACATACACAAGATAACAGAGTTTAAGCCTAACCATATATTAACTAGCTCTAAATCGTCATGCACTGGGAGATGAAAGAACTGGATCAATCTTTAGTTCCATGATTTGGTGTGTCATTCTACATGAGACCTGTGATTCATCAGAATCCAGGACGGATGTGCAAAGCACATGACTAATGCTGGTTAGAGTCAATACGACACAAGCCATATGAACTGATGTTTGAAACAAACCCATGTATTTCTGACGCTTCATGCGAGTCTGCAGACATGCGCTGTTATTTGCATACCCGTGTGTGTGAGTGAGTGTATTATGTGTGGGTGTCCATGAGGAGGTCAGAGAACAGCCTGCAGGAGTCGGTTCTCTCTTTCTACACTGTGGGTTGCAGAGTCAAACTCAGATCGTCAGGCTGGGTGGTAAGTGCCTTTTTTCAATGAGCTATGGCACCAACTCAGGTTTATATAATTTATTTTGGAGGTCATTTCTTACTAAAATCAAATTATAGGACTCACCAACTAGTTATACAAATAAATTACTTAACATTTTAAACAAATGTTTATCAGAGCAAAAAATCAGCCCTAAATCTTTACTTTTCTAATTGCGAGTTCTTATTCAGTCAAACCTCTCAACACAGAATCTTCGAGAGCTCAGCAAACTGAAATAGTCAACACATTTCCATACTTTCCCCAAAAAGACTGCCATTTCCACTGGCTGTGAGTTGGTGATCTGTGGTGTATTTAACCCTTCACCACTCTTTTTGCTGTTTGTTTTGTTTGTAACAGGCATATTTACTACCTAGACCAGACTGGCCCGGAACTCACAGAGGTCTGCCTGCCAAAGGCATGCGCAACCTCAAACGCCTTTCACCACTCTTAGACTGACTCCCATGCACCACCCATGCACAATGTTGCAATACGAATCTTCATGTACAATTTTTTCTTAGGAAAATAAACCAGACAAAAGAATGTTTTCATTTAGTTTCTTTTTTTAATGCCAAACTCCCTTACTCCCTTGTAAAAGGAATCTAGTATTATCACCTGTCACCCATTTGAGCTTAAATTGCATGGTATGATGAAGAAAATATTACTAAGTGGTACTTGTACACTGTGGCTTTCACACTCATGCTTGAGATATATTATTAAGTACGGACCAATGCAACTAATTTATCGCATCTCTCACTTGATTTGGTTCATGTATTCACTGGTGCTTTATTTTTTACTGTGTGTAATTTTTTTGGAGACAGGGTCTCACCATGTAGCCCAGGCAGAACTCAAACTCTCAATCCCCCTGCCTCTGCATGTCATGCTGGGATTATAGGCACGAGGCACCCTTCCTGAGCCGTGTGTTTGACTATCTGTTATAGCCACCCTTCTGTAACACTTCCTTAGTGCCCTTTCTGCTCCTTTGTGCTTACCTGTTCTTAAGGTGTGCCTCCAGGTCACAGCGCTGCATCACATCTTGGCACACGGAAGCAAACGGACACAGAACCAGTAACTTATCTAGAAGTTTATGGACCAGGATGCTAGATTTCTTACACAACTTGAAATGAAGTCTCTTGCGGTCCAGTGGGCAGAAATCTTTCTCTTGTAGGAAGTTTCTGAGGCACTTGTGGCAGAACGTGTGTCCACAGGGTGTGTCGAGCGGCTGCAGCAGGGGCTGAAGGCAAATGTGGCAGACAAGGTCGTCGTCCACTTCACCCTGGTAGTTGTATAAGTGGTTTTCTCTTGCCCAGTGCTGCTGGCCACACTCAAAGCACAGGGGGTCTAGGGAGGAGGAGGAGGAGGCCTGCTCCACCGGCACCATCTCATCACTGGTTGTTCCCATCTTGGATCAGCAGAGTCAGCAGGCTCATGGGTCCAACCGTTGGGAGTTCGCGTGTGACTAAAGCCAAGTACAAACAAACAAAAGTAATTAGTATCGATTAAGGTAGGTAAAAGGATCAATAAAATATTAGACAAGTTTTCAGCAAAAAAGTTTATTGGATACAAAACAGTGATAAACGTAATAAAGGAAATGAATTTGCCAGTTGGGTGAGAAAGGAAGAAAGAGCGAGAATGATTCACTCTGCCAAGATGTGGGCAAGGAGGGGACTTGTGAGTCAAAGCGAAGGCAACACGACAGCAGCTGACTTCTTCCTCCGACTGGAGTCCCCTACACCTACACCCCATCCAGCGGGAAGGCTAATTAATCAATTATACTGCCTTGCTCCACTGATTAGGTCCCCAAACCCCCACACCTCACTGTCCACTGGGAATCTCAAGGCTAATTAATCAATTATGCGGCCTCGCTCCACTGAATGGAGCCCCCATGCACCCACTGCCCACTGGGAATGTCAATCCCCCAGTGCACAACAGTGTGGCTTTGTCATCTCACTTACACCACCTTGTTCTGAGCTGATCCCTTTACAGCCTTTAATAAAAACAGTGTTTCTTAAATGCAGTCAAGGCTAATTCTGTTCGTCAACTAAAAAAAAAATCTTTGTTCCATCCACATTATGGGAAAAATACATTTCAAAACACAAAGAATTTGAATAGTCTCCCTACGCAAAATAAAGGGAAAGTCACATCACAGCACATAAAAACAATGTCTGTGCAAACTCTCTAAATAACTTCTTATTCCAAAGGAAAGAATGCTACAATTCAATTACACAGAGAAAAGGTTATAAATTAGATCTGTTTTGGTCATGTTTAACAGAGCAGCTGTATGTGCATGCCTTCACTAACACCAGACTCTCAACACCCTCCACCTGGAGGTGAGGCTCCAAGAGGATGTTGCCCTAACGCACTAGGGGTTAAAAAAAAAAACGCAACTCCAAAGGCAGAGGTCCTCTGCCTCTCTTCTGCAGATACTGGCTGAGCCTCCAATGTGTGCTGAGCAGTGAACGCAGGCAGGGAGGATGGTTATGAAAACCCATCATTAAAATTGCACGTGATGAACACTCTAAGACTTAAAGTCAAGCACAGGATAGGCTAAGAATGCAAGAGAGAAGGAGAGATTGGCATTTAATTCTGTTTTGCTTTGTGGAAATATTTCAAAAGGATAAAACAAAACAAAACTCCCTATACTTCTGTGTTGTGATAGGATACATCAGTCAGAGCAGGGATGTGGGTGTGGGATAAGGGCATCTCAGGAGAGAAGCACACCACACAAGGCAGAAAGGCCAGGGGGCACATGGCACAGCCAGGAAACAGAAGAGAAAACACCTCGTGGAAATCTAAGCCTGAGAGCCCCCACCAAGAACAGCACGAGCAGCGCCACATGGGCTATGGGGTCTGTGCTAGTGTTTGTATTTTAAGAAACATTTGTCTATTTAGTGTGAACATAAATGTGTGTATACATGTAAATCACACAAATGTGTTCACGTAGAGATCAAAGATCAATTTGTGGGAGTCAGTTTTTTTTTGGGGGGGGGGAGGGAAACAGGGTTTCTCTGTGTAGCTCTGGCTGTCCTGGAACTCATTCTGTAGACTAGGCGGGCCTTGAAATCACAGAGATCCAACTGCCTCTGCCTCCCAAGTGCTGGGATTAAAGGTGTGCACCACTACCACCCAGCTGGGAGTCAGTTTTCAACCATTTGGAACCTAGGGATTGAACTCAAGTTTCCAAGCTTGGAGACAGATCCCTTCACCCGCTGAGCCATCTTGCTAGCCCCGAAACTGATATTTTATGCAGAGTACTCATTTTAAAACAACACAAAGTTGGGCAGAGTAGCACACACTCCTAATCCCACCACTTGGGAGACTGAGGCAAGTTCAAAGCCGGCTTGGACGACATCAGACGACTGTATGTCAAATACACCTATATTAACCAACAAAAGCAAACACCAGCATTCTAAGAGATTTAACAAGAATGGCCGTGGACTGGGAGGGGGATTCAGGCAAGTCAGCTTGATCCAACCTCAGATAAATCGTTCCTCCCTGAAAGCCAGTAAAATAATAGTACTTGTGGACCCCCTCCTTCCATCAAGACAGCAAATTCTTCCTGAGGGAGCCCCTGAGTCTGTTCTTCATGCTCTGAACACGCAGCTATTCTGTCAGTGCGGGACACATGAGAAGAAGAAAGCAACACCACTAACTCAGAATTCCTACAGCCTCTTGTTTCCACCTACTCTGCAAGAAAATCCACATATCTTTTGCTCTTCTTCCATGTGATATAGTGCTTATTCTAATTCTTCTTTCCTCAAGAAAATATATGGTACTGTAGCCTCCCACATAATGACTAAGAAAACACTTCTCTTAAGACTACTGTGTTTAGTGTTCCCTATGTCTCCAAATATCTTCAGTTCCTTATTTCCATTTTATCACAAAATCTTTTCATGAGGAAAATTAGCATAATAACAACTACGTTACCCCCACCCACGAAACTTGTCTTTGCTGCCACGGAATAAACATGCACTCAAAATTGAACTTGGCACAAGCAGTTAGGAGCACAGAGCCTGAGTGGGCCTGGGGGGAGGGGTCAAGCCCTTGCTGGACATTGACCAGGCTCCCTACCCGTCAGTGGTGGCAATGGGCTGACCAGGCTCCCTACCCGTCAGTGGTGGCAATGGGCCCGTATAAAGAACAGTGAGCACTGGACGCACTCCTTACACGTGAGCTATGAATACGATAGAAAGGCAGGACCAGGCTGCCATTGCTCTAACAACTAACAACTAGCAATTACTAAGAGAAGAAACCCCAATTCTTTCTCTCTTCCAACTGGTGGATGGTGAACGAAGTGATCTCAGCAAGAGAAGTGTGACATGAGGTGAATTTTGAGCAAAGGAAGGTGGCCTGGCCCCACTTTCCAATCCCTACTGTTCTCCAGTCGGCCAGCCCAGCAGGTCCATTCCCTCCCCTTTGTGTGGAGTCCAGGATGAGCCTTACACACTCAGAGCCCAGTCACTGTCTGAGTGTCCGTCCCTTAAAGGCCCCTACACCTGGGAGCTTGGTCCCAGCATGATGGTGTTGGAAAGGTGCTTGGTGAAAGGTGTTCTGGTCAGTGAGGACACACCCTGAAGAGAGTTGAACACAACCCTCACAGAACCCTGGCTAGTTCCCACAAATGTGAGTGGGTCCAAGAACAAGCCTTGTCCAGAATTTCTCTGGTTTCTCATGTCACCAACTTCCTGTCCTTTCTCTGCTGTTCTGTAACCAGGGCCAATAGACAAGAATGCTGCTCTTGAACCTTTCCTGCCTTATAAAGTAGTCAGCTTCAGGTATTTTGTTATAATGACAGAAAACAGACTTACGATAGTTTTTATCTGTTATGTCTGCTACAGAGAACACAGCTCAGCTCATGTGGAATGAAGGGTTGAGGATGCAGCAACAGTTAAGAGCTTTTCAGTTCCTGCAGAGTACCTGGGTTCTGACCTCACCACCATCTGAACCCCAGGGGTTCTGATTCCCTCTTCTGACCTCTGCAGGACTGCACACACAGGGTGCACATATATAAGTGCTGGCAAACATCAGTGCTACCAATTATGTCACATGGGAAACATCTGCAGTCCCTTTGACTCACCAAGGCCCAGCACCGGAGAAAACCCTCTCCTCTCATCCTCCTTTTTTCTCACCACGCCCTCCCTGTGGGGGCTCCTCTCTGGAACCCTGCCAGCTCTTGGGGTGGCTCCTTCCCCACCAGCTCTTCACACACCTTCATCTTAACAACTTCTGTGTGCGGCATTTGCTTAAGTATCTCATCCCTTACTGGAAGGGAAAGGCGGTGTCTTTTCTTTTCTTTTCTTTCTTTCTTGTAAATTTCACTAAATTTGAGGACAATTTCAAACATTCTGGTTACTCTCTTGCCCACCCTCTTTATCCCCCTCCCACTAGTCCTTTTCCCACACTCACATCTTTTTGCTTCACTTTGTGACCCACTGAGATTAACCAGAGTCATTTGTGTTTAGAACTGTCCACTGGAGCCCGGGGGGCTCATCACACCTCCTGCAGACTCTGTCCTAGCCAACAGCTCTGTAGGGAGGGGTGGCGTCCCAGGAACCCCTCCCCAATCCGTGAGTGAATGCAGGCAGGCCCCATCTTGTGCAGCCCCTTGCAGAAGCCACAGTGGTGGGAAATCCTGACCACACTGAATGTGCCGTGCAGCAGAGCACTTCACAGCCCTTCTCCTCCGCAATGTCCAGAGGCTTTAAGAGGGGGTGCTATAAATGTCCCGTGTAGGGAAGAGCACTCAACTGTCCCTTATTCTGAGCACCTCAAGCAGACCTGTGTCTCTGCATTGACTGGCGTTCAGTGCCAAGCACTAGTCTGTGGCTGTAAGCACAAACGGCTAGGAGGCAACCTGGGGCCGTATCGGTTCTGCTAAACAGCAGCAGTGCCGCTCCCCATTTCCACTTCTTGGCACACACTAAGCACTGAAAGGAGACTTAGGTGAGCATGGAGTATGTGACTCTACAGGAGGAAACTGTGGCTCCACAGAGCAATGACCATGCTGGAACTGATCCTGCAATTTACAGACAAAGAACAAATAATGTTGCTCCTTCACCTCAAAGACTAAGAAAAATGCTCTCCATGATGCCAGCCCCGAGCTCTCCCTCCCTCCAGTCCACACCGCAGGTCAGCTTTGACAGCTGCCTTTCATGAAGCAGTGCTTGTGAAATTGACCTCAAAATCCCTTTAGCCACTCTGGGAGTTGTGGAATGAAAACAGTGTATGAACGCAAAGTGGATCCAAACAAAACCTCACAACTACCATAGACACAACACCGACATCCCTGCGAATCATTGTGGAGAAGCTAAAACACTCGCTTCCCACAGAAACCTGCACAGGAATGTCAAAGGGCAGATGACAGGAGTAACCCACAGACCCTTCAATAACTGACCAGCTGAGCAAACCGTGACACACTTGTACCATAAACTACTACTCAGCAAAAAAGGGCACGGATGC